TTCCCATGCCACATATGTTGGCTGATCACATTCCCTCCATTTGTCTAAAAGTCTCACTATACATATCCTACATCTGATTGAAAGAAAACCTTTATGCCTATTTCACAAATGGATTGTCTTTATAATCTTGGTGCTGAAAAAGTAATGAAGACAACTATGAGATGGATATACAGAATCATTTGCCGTTCGGTGGGGAGACGTGGCCTGTTGAAAGAATCTGAAAAGATACATGGGATTGCCTTGGTGCCTGTTCTGGAAAGAGCAAGTTTTAAACATGTAATAGTATTCATCCATAAAGAGGGAAATCCTGTCACTTGAAGCAGTATGAATGCATCTGGAAGAGACGCTAAGGAAAATAACCAGGCACAGAAAAAATAAGTACTGCTTGTTCTTGATTATCTGTAGAAATTAAAAACAAAAACAGGTGAATTCAGAAAGGGACTAGAATGATGGTTACCAGAGGTGGATCCTGAGGCTAGGGCAAAGTAAGAGTAGGGAGTTTTTGATCAATTTTCCAGCAAGGCGAGCAAAGTCAGTAATAATGTATTTTAATGTTATAACAAAGTTAACAGTACATTTTAAGGGTGAGGCCATAGTTGAACAGCAAACCTTCCTGGACAGCACAAGGTCACGAGTCCAATCCCAGGTACCAAAATCCCCAGTAAATTTCAAACGTTTCATCATAGAAATATGTAAGGTAATGGCTATAAACATTAGCTGATTTAATCATTCAACACTGTGTACATATATCAGAGCGTTACCTGTTGCCTCGTAAACATATAAACTATTGTTTTTCAATTAAAAGTGTTAATTACAAGAATAAATTTGGAAAATTGATAGGGAAGTTAGGGGAAGAGACATTGATTCTAGTGAAGTCACTTAAAAACTATGTAGATAGGAAGTTTCATAATCGATTGAATGAATGTCAGTTATCCTCTATCTTTAGATAACTATAATTTCATAATTCCATGAAATATGTATTCATATGGCAGTCGTGAATGCTCACACTGGATTGAGAGTAATGAACACACTCCATAATGCCAACCTAACTTTTGACAGCACTGAATGAAAACTCATCAGCTGTGGAGGATGATGTTGGGTTCCAGATGAAGCCAACACCTTCCTAAGGCTAGCTGACATTCTGTGATAATTTAGTAATGTCCATCTCCCGTGGTGAGGGCAAACTGTTGTCTTTCATGCTAGAGTTGACACTTGTTCCCAATGAGTTTGCATTTTTGGTTTATCGATTTCTCCTAGCACCACCATCTTTCAGGCTAAAGAATATGTGATTTAACTATATGGGAATCACACACTGTTATAGCCAATTACTAGGAAATCCCATGTCATAGTAAAAGGTGATGAGACAAGGGACACACGACTGATGAACATGTTGGTTCTTCCGTGGATCTGGAAGCAGCTAGCCTAACTGAATACTGACATACCCTATTAAAGACTCAGCAAAGCCCCAGGTTGTGTAAAAGCTTCTCTGGGTTGAGGTCCTGTCCTCCCTAATGTGAAACATGCTTTAAAGAAATGTCAACACACGGAGCAGTCTCTGGATTAATGGTGTACAAAAGATTAAAAACAAAGAGTAAAAAAACAGGGATTTTTCCCATGGCACCATCATTCTCACTGATTGCAGAATGTGTGCCTCTATAGGCATTCTGAGCTTGAACAAATACATTATGTTGTCTAAGAAGGCTGTTAGGTTTATTTTTACAGCCAAGTTCATATCAGAAAGCCAGCATGACAAGCTTCTCTTGGAGAGCCAATGGCAAGAGGAGAACCAACAGCAACAAACAACAACACCCTGAGAACCAACAATGCCACTTCTCCAGATCTCCTTTTTATCTTGGCAACAGCCCTGAGGTGGGCCATCCACACTCAGCACCACCCGGCTTGGTAATACAAGTTTATCAATCCACCACAGCATGGGAGGATAGTGATAATTTATTGTGGGTTAAATTTTGCTTTTGGTGACTAAAGATTTGAAGACATTTTCATTTGTTTATTGGCCGCTTGTGTATCCTGTTTTCTAAGGTGTCTGTTTAGTATTTTTTATTTACTGAATAGAAATTTATAATTTTGTTATTAATTTGGAAGAGTATTCTGTTTTTCAGGAGATGTAGCATGTGTGTATTGCAAATGTTTTCCTAGCCTTTTAACTTATTTTTCTCTTTATTAATATTTTGATGAACCACAATTCTGATTTTAAACAAAGTTTAATATATTAATATCTTATAATTTTATGTTGCAGAAATCATTTCAGGTTGTCTTCCTGTGCTCCAAGAACATGAGATTTTTTAGATGTTATCTTTTAGAATTCTTTTTTGTTTGTTTATCTGTTTACATTTAAATTTACAGTTTTTCTGGTATTGAATTGTGGGCATAATGTACATGAACATTAATGTTTATATTTTAAAAAAATATGTGTGGAAAAAGGTCTCCCCTCCCTATTTTAAAGTGTACTTTACATTATAGTGTAATTTATAGGCCACATCTTTACATATGTATAAATGTGCTCTGTTTAGTGTAATATTTAAGCTTTTTAAAAAATCAAGTTATGTTGACTTTTTTCATTTTCACATATAGTTTAGAATAATTTTTTTCATTTTTAAATTTTTATTACTACATGTCAATATTACATGACAATGTAGATTATTTTGGGAAGTTGTTACATTCAACTAACATACTTCAATCACTTCTAATCCCCTTGGTTCCTGTCGCTGCTTGCTTCCCTTCTCTGTCTCAAAAGTCTATCTCTTGGTTTCCTGATCTTTCTTTTATTTATTCATTAAGTTATGGCATGATTTAGGTTTTACATAAAATAGTGAATATGATATTTAATTTTCTGAGTCTGCAAGTTTCACTCAACAAGATGTAGATTTCTAGGTTTCTTGTTTCTTGTCTTTCTGTAAAAGATGTGACTTCATTTTTTTTTTTTTTTTTGACACAGGGTTTTGCTATGTAACCCAGACTGATCTCAAACTCTTGGCAATCATCCTACTTCAGGCTTTTGAGTGCTGAGATTACAGGTGTGCATCACTATGTCTGGCTGCTTTCATTACTCTTTACTGCTGATATAATTCATTGCATATATAATACCACATTTTTTAACCTATTCATTTGTTAATTGGCATCTGGGCTCTATAGCTATAATATACAGTACACAATAGTTTCAAGAATATGCCCAAGAACAGTATATGAGTTATAGAAATTTTTCAAACTGATTCAGAAATGTTTCAAACTCTAGAAGAACAATTTATTTTGGCATTTTATTGATAGTACATTAAATGTAAAGATGAGCTTGAATAGAAATATTATCTGTGATATTCTTTCAATTCATAGGCATGTCACAATCTCCCATTTTATGGATTTTACTTGATTTTCTTGAAATGAATCCTCCATATTTTATTAAAAACATATTTCATTTTGTCTAGCACCACAGTCCAAGCTTCTGTTTCAGTTAGTCCTTCTAATAGTTCTACCCAAATTATTACAAAAGCATTGATCAGGGAAAATTACATAGATTTCTATGTGTGCTAAACAAGAAGCACTTTCCATTTGTGGGAAGATTCAATTCTAGTCTGTGGATTTGTTCACTGAACAATTTTCTGCATTCACTTTCATTCAGCCCTTATTTCCCTAGCTCATTGCAAGTATAGCATGAGGTGGTACCTATCAAATTTGAGATGAAGTATAACTCTGTAATTGTTTCGGTAGGAGCCAAGATCAAAGATTTTATTCCTGACCTAAGGTTTTCCACACTACACATTCACAAATCAACAAGTGGAATCAGGCTTTCTGGAAGAATTCTACCAGCTACCCCTTCCCCTGTGTTCTGCACCGGTTAGGTTTAATCCCTACTCTTAAATTTGTGTCTAAGAATACACTGATTCATTTCAGTTTGGTGTACCTTTACTGACTGGTGAGAGCTTCTTTGCTTTGCGTTTGGACATAACAGCTGGTGGGTCAACAGCCAAAAGAATGACCTATGCGGATTTCTAATTAGATTCAATGTTGTTTCCATACTTCTATTCATCTCTGGCATTGTGTAGTAAAATTTTACATTTATAAAGTTAGGGATTATATGAAATACAATTCAAACTTTGTTGTTACAACTAATTCAACCCATGTTGTCTCTTTATTTCTTACTTTTAGTATTCTAATGGCATCTTCTTACAAATTTTCTTCCTGTAATGTCACCAAGAATCAATTTCAAATGCACATATATAGTTTGCTAGATCTATATATTGAGTCTATTCACAATTTTAAAGTTTGCTATCCTCTGTAATTTGATTTTAACTTGTAAATATATCATGAAAATCATTCCTGAGCTATGCATTTGATGACCTCTTCATTATTTTTTCTAAAATATTTCTCATCTTGTACCCTTTCCAAATTTAGTTTGGTGAAAAACAGAACACAGAGGGAAAATACTTATCAAAGAGATTTATTTAACTTGCAGACATCGTTCAGAGTTAAAAATCACCTAAGAGGTGCTCAACAGGTCTATCAAAGATGATGAAACAAGTTGGACACACACTCCTGGTGAACTCTGATTGCCCTGATTCCAATAATTTTGGTTTTCCCAGTGCTACAATCAGGTATACAGTGTTTCAGTGTGACTTCTTTCTTGGGAGAAATTTGGGATAGGGCTAATTCTCAAAGATATCCTGACACTGTTCTGGTTTCCATTTAGTGCAAAGAATAGGCCATTTACTTGCCAACTCTATGAAACATATGCAGTTTTAAATATACATTCATCTTTTTCAGATGTCATCTAGCTCACTGACTGTAGCACATTCTGTTTACCTCCCTACACTGCTTAATGTCTTCCTCCATGAAGACATTTCCTGCATACCATCTTATATCAGCTTTCTCCTTGGATTACTTGTAGAACATAATCCTCTTCAAGTCTTTTTTTTTATATTAACAGAACAGAAAATGGGTAGAAATTATATATACTTTCAAAGAAAAAATAAACAGTAAGAAACCACTAATTGATGATTATATATTGTCCTCTTACAAATAATTGTTCAGGATACAAAAGTGAAACATACAAAGTGGGGATTCAAACAGCAAGACTGCAACCAGTTCTGCTCAACTATCCAACAAAAACTTAGTAATACAGTTATCAATCCTATACACTTAAAATATATATGCACTTATCCATATCTTCATTTATGTTGAGATTAAACAAACCATAGCAGGCTATAATCACTCTGAAAAAAGAATAATAGTATTGCTGAATTTCACATCATGACACTATGGGATCAGCACTGGATACTGTAGTATCTATCATTCTTCAAAGTATTTGTTCATTTCATTATGCATTGTAAGATCAGTTCTCGTAAACTGTAGGTTGTACGCATGCATGAGTGTTAATACGTATTTTTTATTTAAAGAAAAAAACAGATAAAAAGGGTAGAAACAATACAGAATTTCAGAAAAATAAACAGTAAGAAATCACCAGTCGATAAGTTACATACCGTCATCTTAGAAATAGTTTCTCTAGTTACAAAATTAAAGCATACAAAGTGATATTCAAACAATGACACTGCAAACAGTTCTACTCAATAATCCAACAAGAACTTAGTAATATGATTATCAGTACTACACACTTGTTTTTTTTATCTTAAATAGGATAAGATTAAACAGAACAAAACAGTTTATAAGGCAACAATTTAAAGAAATATATATTTCAAAGCAAGTCTACTGGAGATCTTCACTGTCTATCTTATTTTCTCTAGTTTTCTTCCAAATAGTTGTCCCCATCTTCACACACATTGAATATATACTGAACATTATAGAACTAATCAGATTATTACAGGATGATGAAGGCTTTTTAGGTCTTCAAGACCTGATTTTGGGGAAGTCAATAATGTCTACCATAATGTTTCTCAGTCTCTTCATAGTAGCTGTCTTTATCTTTACCTATGCTGAAATTGAACATAATATCACTCTGAACAGTGAATGATAGTATTGCTAGATTTCATATCATAACACTACAGAATTAGCACTGGGTTTCTTAGTGTCTCTTCTTCTTCAGAGCATCTGTTCATTACATTGTGTGTTATATAATCTGTTCCTGAAAACAGTTTAGAAATTCTTCCCATGTGTGAATCTCTACATGTATATCTATCCTTTCTGTATTATAGGGAAAAACAGACCAAAACAAGACAACAAAATAAATTCCTAGAAAAACATGAAATGAAAAAGACATATAGGACCACAATATTAGCTGATCTACAGTAGTTATGATGCTTTCTCTTGTTATTTTCAATAGAATTGTCCACATCATCAGGCATAATATAGTTAAACATAACATTACATAGCTATTTTAATAAAAACACAACTTTGAAGACATTGTAGGACTTGAAAGCAGTTAATAATCAAAACCAGAATGGATATCTTTTACATCTTGTCGTCTTCAGAATAGTTGTCTCCACTCCCAGACTTGATACTATCAAGGATACCAAACTCCAATGAACAGTGAAGGCTAAACAGTGGTCTAACAAACCAGCTTCAAATAAGATCTGTCATAGTAAGACAATGTAAGTATCACAGGGTTTCAGTTTAAGTTAATAGGAAATTAAGGATAGTTAACATGGTATAACCTGCTATTTTAGGGTTAGCTGTCTGTGCTCTCAAATCTAATATAAGTAGACAGACCAGAACAAAATATAATCAAACTAAACAGAGCGGTAAGACTACAGTGACTTTTAAATCCTGATATACTATTAACAGTGTCTTCTGCCTTCCTTTTTCAGACAAATTCTCGCTTTTCCTTTTCTCAGGGTGCTTTGTATACTTTGGGTCCCAGTAGCTCTTTTAGTTTTTAGATTAGGGGACCAACTTGTTATTTATCTGAGTGTTGCTAAACCTTTTTACCCCTGAGCTTGATCTTGAGCTGTACTCCTTTACTTACTAAAGTCACAAGATTATTCTTCCTTCCAGCTGTGTGGTTTTACATTGCCCAAAAGTGTCATAGCTTTCCAGTCTATCTGCAGCTGCTGGACAAGTTGTCCCTATTTCTCTCTGGTTTCCTGTCACATATTGCATTGTTTTCTCATCTTTGACTCAGTTTATTAATCCTCTTTCAAGTTGAGTGTATCTCCTATTCAGAGCACCTTGAAGGATCCTGCCTCCTAGTCTACTCTGCTTGTGTTTCTTTTTTTTTGTTAGTGTATCAGGCCTATCTATATATTAAAGATTGTAGCTTACTGTCTCTGCCTCATTTCTGCTATTTTATTCTTCTGTCATAATTTGTCCACTTTACTTCTTCATTCCACTATCTGCCCCGTTCATTGAGGCCTCTCTGTCACTGTTGCTGGAATCCTGGTATTTTTTCCAATCTCTCTCTCTGGAATATCCTTCAGTATTTTTTGTAGGGTTGGGTTGGTGGCCATGAACTCCAACAGTTGCTCCTTGTCTTGGAAATATCTCGTTCCTCCATTAATTTTGGGAGAGTTTTTCCAGGTACATCAGTCTTGGTTGGAGGTTATTTTCTTTCAGGGCTTGGACTATTTCCCCCCAGGCTCTTCTCGATTTGAGAGTTTGTGTTGATAAGTCTGTCATTATTTTGATAATTTTTCCATTGTAGGTAATCTGATTCTTTTCTCTGGCTGCTTTTAACATGCTGTTCTTGTGGTGGATTTCTGGACTCTTGATTATTATATGTCTGGGTATAGATCTGTTTTGATTGTAGGTGGCTGGAGTTCTGTATGCCTCTTTTATCTGGATATCATTTCTTTTTCCTATGCTTGGGAAGCTTTCCCTAATTATATCTGTGAATAGTCTTTGTAGTTCATTTTTAGTTACTCCTGCTTTGAAGCTCACGTATTTTATTCTTAAGTTATGAATCTTCTTTTCGTCTTCTAGCCTTTGTATTGTTTTTTCCTGGTTCCTTGTTGTTTTTAAGAGATCTTTTCTTTCACAATCACACACCATAAATCTCTCTTTAAGTTTGAAAAGGCTAACTTTAGTTTTTGTCAAGGCATTTTGCCAACTTTCAATAGAGTTTTTAGTTTCCTGGTAATCTCCGTGGATCCATTTCATGTATTCAAGATTTTGTTTATATTCTTCAGAAAGGTTTGTCTTCCTTTCTGAGTTCCTCCATTCTTCCCATCTGTGTTCTCTTGGGAGGGGCTTATCATTTATTTAATTAATCTTTTTATGTCTTGCCTCACTTGGATTGGAAGTAGTTTTAAATTCGTCTAGAGGTCATAAAGTTATTTCTTTATGTCCACTGATGCTGTATCTAATATTGCATGATTACTGCACTGTTTCTCTTCGGTATTTATCTCTCCTAGGCTTATTTTTCCAGGGTCATTGGTTGGAGGTTTGCTTTTTTAAAATTTCTATCTCTTGTCATGTTTCTGGTTTCTTTTAGATAGGTGGGTCTGGAGGATCTCTGGTCCTCTTCATATTGCTCAGGGTCTTTCTGAAGTGTGCTGACTGGGGTTTTGCTGCCCTCCCCAATTTGCTGTTATCTGAGGTATCTTAAACTCCCTCCTAGGGGCTCAGAATGGTGTGAGGACACTCACCCCAGGCTGCCCAGTCCAGAGTTCAGGGCGCAGGCAGGCAGGTCCAATTCCCTGAAGCTGGTCAATGTTGGAAGGAAACCAGAAAGTTCTGGTTCTGTATTTTTGATTATTGTTTGAAAAGGTGTTTTCAGAAGCAGCTTCTCTGGGCTCTGTTCATGGTGGTGGCTCCATGGGGCTCTGGTCCCGCAGGCCTGGCGGTGATGAAGACACACTCACCTGCATGGGGACTTTGGAGGCTCTCTGGCGGAGGGGGCCCGCAAGCTCGTGTCATCATGCGAGGGGTAAGTGCGACGGTGGCGATGTGTCCCAACAGGTCTGGTCCCATACCCATGATGCCGCAACGTGCCCTCTTCCTCCTGCCTTCTAGGACAGGGCCTGGATCTGGGGAGGGGGCAGCGGCAGTGGCAGTGGTGTAGGTGGTGGGGGCAGCCAGGGGGTGCCGAGTTGCTTCATTCTCCCAGCCTCTGGCAGGCCCCTGGCAACAGAGTTGGAGACAGTGGCTGGAGGCAGCGGCATGGCGATGACCTGTCTCGCTGGAGGGCCCGGAGGTGCTCAGGGCTGCACAGTGGTGCAGCTGACTGAGAGTGTATGTTTGATTGGTTTTTCCCACCTTAGTTTCTTCTTGGGATGAGAGAATTCCTCTCTGTCTGTTAGAGGCTCCCCATGTTGTATTATGAGCTCTAAGTTGACTATCTCTGGGAGCCTCTGTAGCCAGCTGTTATCTATCTTCCATCTTAGCTCCATCCCTTAACATGTATTTCTATCCTTTCTATATTAGAGGGAGAAACAAAACAAAGCAAGACAAAACAAAACATATTCCTATAAACATATGAAATGAAAAAGATATATAAACCACTGTACAAGGAGTTCTACAACGGTTACTATGTTGTCTCTTGTTAATGTCAATAGAATTATCTGTATCATCAGACACAGTAAAATTGAATATTTTACAGTACAAAACAATATTAATAAAAACAAAACTTTGTAGATAGTATAAAACTTCAAAAACAGGTAATAATCAAACCAGACCAGGTATCATAGTGAATCTTGTCATCATCAGTGTAGTTGCCTATACTCTCAGACTTGATATGATCAATCATAACAGTTTTGAATAAAATCTGTTGATACCAAACAGTAATCAAACAAACCAGATTTAACTAAGATCAGTCATGATAAAACAGTATATGTTGTACAGGGTTCCAGATTAAGTTAATAGGAAATTAAAGGTTATTAGTGTACTATATCCTGTTATTTTTGGGATAGCTATCTGTGCCCTTAGATCTAGTGCAAGTAGACAAACTGAGACAGAATAAAATCTATCTAAGTAGAGTGGTGTGAGTAATGTGGGTTTTAAATCCAGATACATTATTAACAATATCCTCTACCATCTTTTTAAAGACTATTTCTCCCCTTTCATTCCCCCAGGGTGCACTGTGCATTTTTGGGTCTCACCAACACTATCTGTTTTTAGATTGGGTGGGGGAAACCTGCTATTTACCTTAGTTATGCCAAACCTTTCCCTTCCTGAACTAGATCTCCAGTTGTATTCCTTTACCTATTAAAGCCTGTCTTTCCAACCTATCTACAAATACTGGTTGAGTCATCCCTATTATGCTCTGGTTCCCCGTCACATAGAGCATTCTTTTCTCATATTTGATTTTCGGTCCATAAACCCTTTTTCAGATTAATTATATTTCCTATAAAGAGCATTTTGGTGGATCCTACCTCCTTTTCTACTGTTTCTCTCTCTTTCTCTCTCTCTGTCTCTTTTTCCGTGTATCAAAGCCTTCTGTATTAGAGATCATAGCCGATCTTCTCTGCCTCATTTCTGTTGTGCTCTTTTTGTGCCATTAATTGTCTGCTTTTCTTCTTCATTACACTTTCTGATCCATTCATTGAGGCCTCTCTGCCACTTTTCCTGGAATCCTAGTACTTTTCTCTCTCTCTAGAATGTCCTTCATTATTCTCTGTAGAGTTGTATTGGTGGTCACAAATTCCCCCAGTTCCTGTTTGTCTTGGAAGCATCTTGTTTCTCCACTAATTTCTAGAGACAGTTTTTCAGGGTACATCAGTTTGGGCTGGAGGTTATTTTCTTGCTGGACTTAGAATACTTTGCTCCAAGCTCTTCTTGATTTGATGGTCTGTGTTGAGAAGTCTGTTGTGAGTTTGATGGGTTTTCCTTTACAGGTAATCTCTTTCTTTTCTCTGACTGCTTTTAATATTCTGTTCTTATATTGAATTTCTGGGATCTTGATTATTATATGCCTGGGTGTGGCTCTCTTTTGGTTGTAGGTGGCTGGAGTTCTGTATTCCTCATACATCTGAGTATCATTTCCTTTTCCCGTGTTTGGGAAGTTTTCCTTAATTATTTCTGTGAATAACCTTTGAGTTTCTTTGTTTGTATCCCAGCTTCTTCAGTCACATTCTTTATTCTCAAGTTATAGATCCTCTTGTCATCTGGTAGCCTTTGTATTGTTGCTGCTTGTTTCCTTGTTATTTTTAAGAAGTTTCACCTTTCATAATTCCACATTGCTAACCTGTCTTTCAGTTTGGATAATCTATCCTTTGTTTCTTACAAGCAGGTTTGCCAGCTTTCAATGGAGTTTTTAATTTCTTGGTAATCTCTTTGAATTTGCTTCGTGTATTCTATGTTTTCTTTATATTCTTCATCAAATGATTGTCTCCTTTTTTTGTGTTCCTCCATTCTTCTGTCTGTGTCTTCTTGAGAGGTGCTTAGCATTTCTTTTATTAATCTATTTATATCTTGCATTACTTGGTTAAATATTTTAGTTTTGAACTTGTCTATGAGGTCCCAAAGATATCTCTTTATGTCCTCTGATGCCATGTCTGTTATTGCATGTTTGCTGTCCTCAATCTCTTTTGTATTTACCTTTCCTGGATCATTGTTCTCAGGGTTGGGGGCTCCTCTTCTCATATTTTTGTGTCTTCCATACAGGCATATAGAGGAGGCTTCCGTCTCTTTCTTTGTTGGTTAAGGTTCTTCTGAAGTGTGCTGGCTAGGTGACCCTGCCCCTCCAGTGTGCTATTATGGTGCAAACAGGGGCGGCATATGCTGGGCCCTCGCCTCCAGGTCAGTTAACCTGCCTTCACTGGGTTAGTGTGAGCTGCACCTAGGAAATTGGTTTGGGACAACTTATTGGGTCTTAGCCCAGGGCACAACCCAGGCCAAGCATATCCTACCAATCTTGTCTGGTAAGGGAACTGAAGTCACTGCTGTCCCTTGTTCTTGCCAGTCCTGCCCAATTCCAAAATGTCATCCCTTTGGGTACCCCTTTCCCGTGGAAGGTTTTTATCCCCAGCACTCACCGTAGGTCAATGCAGGTCCCTTGCAGGCTCCAGTCTTTGTTGGGCTCACTGACCTCCAACTTCATCATGACTGCACTTCAGTGCAACTGCGGTTCTGGTGAGTAGAAGCGGCAGGAATTTGTGTGTGCGAGAGCATAGAATCTTAGCTGCCTCAATAGTAGCCCTGGAACTTCATGTTTGACTGATTCTTTTCACTTTAGTTTCTTCCTGGGTTTAGAGAATCCATTTCCTTCTGTCCAGAACTACTCATGCTGTGTTATTTTGGCATCTGAGTTGTCTGTCTCAGGGAGCCTCTGTATTCTGCTCTTATCTATCTGCCATCTTTACTGGAAGCCCCTCCATCTTCAAGTCTTAAAGGTCAATTATAGTTAAGGCAGAAAGGAACTTTGGTGAACTTGAACTTGCCAATCATATCTCAAAAGGAAATGTAAGATACACAGTGAGATTAATGGGGATTATATATCATTTTTCATTGTATATGTTATTTAAACACATGTATTTAGCATGTATACTTTTTATGTATATGTATACATATATCCATGTTTACATACAGGTGTATAGCATAAGTGTATGTTATACACTGTTGCAGTTGGTCACCCTTTCAGTGTGTTATCATCCCACTTAGTTCTAAACATCCAATGTTACTACTAAATACCTTGAATTAATTTAGAAAAGAACTTTGAGAAAATAATTCTCTAAGGATCTTGAAACTCTAAGTAGATAGTATTTGTCAATCAGTGATAATAACTCAATGTTGATTTAAGTACACCAGCTTAATTTCTGCTTATTTCCCCCCTCTTCCTCTATCACTTGTTAGAAAATAAGCAATCCCAGTAGAGCAAGCTGTGAATTAATGATATTGATCCTATTCGGCATTCCAGGAGGGAGAAGGCATGTGTTTTACCACCTAGGATAAGGGAATGTATAGGTGTTTTGTCAATGAGCAGTTAAGTACTGATCTGAAGAGAACATTAAAAGTCTTCCTCACATACCTTTTAGAAGCCTCTGTTGTGTAAAGCTGGACTCTGCTGCTGGTCTGGGTAGGACTTCCCTCATTTCTCACCGCTGATATTCTCCACATGTCTGTTGTCCACTTGCAACACTAGTTGAATAAGTAGCATTACCTCATGCTCTCAAGAACAATGGTAAAACAAACCGGTTGTCAGCTTCCCCTGCTTATTATTTATTTAGGCCAGTGTATCCTCAGGTTTGGGACAGTGTCACTGGTTACCAGAGTGCAGAATACATAACAACTTGAAGGAGGTGAAGGCTAAGACTTGGCAGTCACTGCTCACTTGGAAAGGCTTGAGAGGGCATGTGGGGGTGAACAGGGAAAAACATGATTTAAAAGAAAGTGCAAGTATAGGTCTGGAATTCTCTAACAGAGTCAGAATACCGACTATTTGAACAAATGAACTCCTTTCGGGGGCATTCAAATAAGTGATTTATTTGCATTCAAGCAGAAAACACCATCATTACTGACCTGCCTAGTGCAGATTAGAGGAGAGATGTAAAGTGAATATAAAAAAGAAGTAAATAATATGTAGAAGATAGAGAGGTAGTGTTGTAGGCTACTTTTCCTTATAAGAAAGTAAGTTTATTGAATTTTTAAAGTATCATATTTATACAAAGTGCAAAGAAATATGTATTTCTTGCTATGTCAAATACTCACATAAACTGTGCAAAAGGAGTGGGGAACAGCACAGAGGCCTCCTAGCTGTGGAGGAGACATGTCTTGCAGTCCTGGTTCTAACAGAATCCAAAGTAGAGGTTGCTGTTAGTAAGAAGAAGATAATGTTAAGATTTATATGACTTATAAGACTTCTGTTCAACAATCTAAATATTATTTCTAAATAGTACTTATTTGGAAGAACTAAAATGTACTAGTACTTATAGGGAGGAACTAATTTCTCAGGGACGTGGAATGGGACAATGACAGAGAAATACATATAGGTTCTTTTTGAAGCCTGATGGAAAAAACTTTCAAAACAGGCAAATTTATAAGCATACACACACGCACACACACACACACACACACACACACACACACACAAATTTTACTGCACTAAAATTTCATTGTTAGTTTTAAAGTGCAATGCTTATCTTTGTTATTATTAGACACTAAGTTAAAATAAAAAATTAGGCTTTAAATTTGAGATGTCTTTTGTTTATATAACTAAGGTTTTACAAGAACAATCTTTTTTATATCTGTGCAAACTATGAGATAAAGCATTGTATCACATTTGGAGACTGAACCAGATATTACATATTAAAGATAAATTCATATGAATAAAAATAGTTTCTGATGTGAAAGATCACATATAAATGTGATTAAGCTGAATTTTCATATTGACTGGTATCGGAGCTGTCCAAGAGGATTAGAGGAGTACATCTCTGGGTGTGTTTCAGTGGATCACCTGGTTGTAACTTTGGGTCTGTACCTGATTCCTTAGTCCATCCCTTCTGTTTCTTGCTGTCCTTCCTATCTACCATGAGCTAAACAGCTTTGCTAAGTAGGATGCCCTTCTGCCATGATGTGCCTGGCAACTATGGACTGGATCTTCTGAAATTATGAGCTAAGTAAATCTCTCTTTCTTTAACTTCTGGGTTTTGGGTAATTTGTCCCGACAACAGGAAAAGTGAGCATATAGAAAAATGATACCAGATGTAGGGCCAAGGTTGTTAGTGTAATAGACCATGTGGTTTGGAAGCCTTAGAAATTGCTGTATTGGGGGAGTTTGGAAGAGTTTAAAAGTGAAGGCTAGAGAAGTTCTTAGTACTGTATGCAAAGGTTGAAGTGTCATTCTGGTCAAAGCTCAGAAGACCAGAATGGTGATAGAAATTCAGCAGTAAAAGCGAGGGTCAGGAGGTATCAAATGAAAAAGAAAAGGATTTCACTGAAAAATTGACTAAACGTGAAATATCCTGTTTTGTTTTCTTTTGGTTCTATATTTTTTATTAATACATTAAAAGACAGGGCAGCAGAAAGAGAAATGTAAGTACACAGAAGTTCAGTGGACATGGGATATAGCACAGACATGAGCACATAATACATGTATTTAAATATAAAATATGTTAGTTTTTTGCTTATATAGGTTAGAATCTTTGTTTTGCTGTCTATAGATATGTAAATTTGGGCTAATTAGAATTTCTAATACACAATCTTCCAGGTAAAATGAATGTACTTCCTAGCTTATAGGATGTTAAATGATTAAGTTAATTAATATCACATAAATAAAATGTTTAGCTTTGCATCATATATTTGATATACACTCATCTAGTTTTTGAAACTAGCAGCTTAATTCAGTTTTCTTTTGGTTTACTAAGAAACTTTCTATTAAGGGTGGAAGAACAAAAAGAGAGAGAAGTATTTCAGAGGTAGTGCCTGAATAATATATACAGCTTTTTATCCCTGGTACTGCAAAATAAATAATGATAATGATAATAATAATAGTAATGTTGATGATGAATAGTAACAAGAGCCAATGAAAAAGACAAAAACAGGCAGAGAATGTAGCATAGGGGCACAGAGCCTGCCTGACAAGCACAAGGTATTAAATTTCATCCTGGTACCAGGAAGAGAAAAACAAAAACCAAAAAATAGTTTCACAATTCAGAAACAAAGACTAAAGGAATTTTCAAATATATTCTGGATTTTTATCAATACTAACTCAATGGAAATGAGTACAGTGGTCTCTTGGTCTCTTGGTTCACAAATTTAATTTGTTCCAGGATTCTGGGAAAAACAGATATGTTCATATTTTTGAAAAAAAAATATGTCCCCAGTTATGTTCACCACCCAGTGCAGAGCTCACCAGAAAAAAAAAAAAAAAGATGAAACTATTTGTCAAATGCTTCTGTTTGTGAACCAAATTGCTTGCAAACAAAAGCATTTGTGGACCACTGTATGCAGAGTTAGAAATAGGAATGTCTAGGTGACAAATCTGTTTTAATGGCTCTGCAGAGAGTAGATTGACAAACATTTTTACTAGTGCAAGTAAAATTCTGGTTCAGCCTACTATACTTGTTAGAAAATATCTACACATTATATGCACATGAATATCTGAATATTACCAAGGTGATGGGAAAGGCTGGTCTGGATTCCTTACTGCATGAATGCTTCAAAACAAATTGAAACCACAGGTTGACACAGTCTATTTTAAATAAGCATTAATGGTTTTGACAAACAAAGGTTCCTTTATTCTTTCTGTTTGTGATAAAATGCTGATGATAATTTAAAGTGCCTGGCATTTTCCAATCATTTCAGAGTTACTTTTTTCTATGGAAAGCAGTATAAATATGAAACAGTCTGTTAACAATACTCACATGAAGAATTTTTAACCAGGAAGCTGTATATGTCTAAAGGAATACCAATGAAGAGGGTCAAATTGTTCTTGAACATGGAGAGGAAGAAGTAACATATTAACTTCAAAGTCTTTCATCTGTTTCTATCCTAGATAAAATATTTATCAATAACTATGAAAACTAAAAAGACATTTTCTTAAACATCAGCATCTCCAGTCATTAGTAACTGATTCTTCTAAGTTTTGTACCAGGGATTTGTACTTTATAATTCACAAAAAATGAATTATCTCTAGCAATATTATATATTGTTGACATTTTAGATAATGTTGCCAGTTCAAGCACTTCTGTGATATTTTTTTCTAGATACATGACTAAAAGCTTTCAACAGGTTTTAACATGGTTTACTACTCACAGAAATTATTATCGTGATCCATTTTATTATTCAGTCTTCGCACTCTTCTAGGAAGTTGTATGATAGATTTTTTTTACATTAGAAAGTAATTTTAAAATGTCTTTCAAGAGCAACCATGAGTAGTGACACTATTCCTGGGATTTTAACCTAAATAAACAGTCCAATAGAAGAATATATCAAGAGAAGTATGTACAAATAGAGAGTTTTTAGTTATTTAAGAATAACTTAAAAATAAAAATGCTTTATCTCACACAGCAAGATGTGTAAAGATAAGAGTTACATGCATAGTTAAAGTAGTAGTTTACTAATCTTGTATCATCTTTCTGCTTTCCTTCTAAATATACACACTTAACCCTGGAAGGCTGGGTTACCCAAGCATCAAAATGATTGTAACAGATTCAACAATCAATTGTTGAGAAACTGCACAATGACAATTTTCTTCATGTGTCTTTGTTTAAAAACTTTTCCCAGAATCCCCTAAGATACTCTTTCTCTCTCATTGACCAACACTGTTTTACATTCCTTTGCCTCAATCACTAGTGAGGAAACGTTAGCTCCCTGCTATTAGAGATAGGATGTAGCTTACACTGAAGGTAGGTTGCTCAGAGAAGGTAGAATACATTTAGCCTTGGTAATAAGGGAAAATCTGGGAATTGGAGATTGCTTAGATCAGTATTACAGCTCTAATCTGCTGCTTGGGGGATTTCTTTCACGGGAAACTTTATTTTTCACAGTTAAGTATTTTCCAAACATGGATAAGAATTTATAGGATTGTGAGCATACATGTGTTACATCATTCAGCCCTAGGCATCAACCTTGGCTTGGGTCTTCATTGTGATCACCTCTGTACTCAGCACTGATTATATTTCCTTCTACTTTTTCTCAAAGATGACAATTAACCTGAATTCTTTATTTAAATTTCATTCTTAACATGTTTGTGCTGTATACTTTTATATGTGCCAATTAATCCTGATTACCCATGTGACTGGATTAAGGAGAGAGGTAGCTGGATTGTGAGGCCACTAATTCCTTCCCTGGGCTAGCTCATTAGCAGGTGGGCACACTTGGAAGAAGCTGGTGATTGGGACACGTCCTTGGGGACTGTATTTGATTTCTGGCCTCTTCCTCCTTTGCTCTTACCTGCTCTACTGACCTCCATAATGTAAGAAATATCCCTCTTCCTTGTCTTTGTGCCACATGATTTTCACCTTGAGGGCAAATGAGCATGGACTGAAGTCTCTGGAGATATAATCCAAAACAAATCTCATTTTTTACTTTTTATTGTTTATTGGTACAGAATCATATTTATTATGCAGAATTTGAACCTGTAAATATTATGTTTTGATTCTTCTTCTTTCCCCAAACCCCGTTTCTTGTCTTTAACCCCTCTTCCCTTCTCTATTTAAAAAAAAAAATCTTAGTTTTTCAAAAAAACATTGTGTATGTCAGGATTTTCCTTTAGCAAAAGCCAACTAATATACTGAATTGTAAGGAAACTCTTAACAATTTATTCGTGATTTTCA